AATTATTTTCCATTTTCCAAAAGTTTTATGCTGAGATACGTACACAATTTGGTGTTCCAATTAAAATTCTCCATTTAGACAATGACAAAGAGTATTTCCTTACTTCATTTCAGTAGTATTTGGAACAATATGACATTATTCATCAAACATCCTATGCAAACACTCAACAAAATGGGGTGGTTGAGAGGAAGAATCGACATCTACTTGAAAAAACTCGGTCTCTTCTTCATCATATGAATGTTCCTAAACGTTTTTGGAGTGATCCAATGCTTACCGCTTGTTTTCTCATTAATCACATGCCCTCGATCATTCTTTCCGGTCGTTCTCTATTTTGTTTCCCACTTTGTCTCCATATCCCTTGACTCCCAGGATCTTTGGGTGTGTGCGCTTTGTTCATAATCTAGTTCCTGGTTTAGACAAGTTGGATGCACACTCCATTAAGTGTATCTTTCTTGGCTACTCTAGGACTTAGAAAGGGTGCTACAACCCCGGACGTCATTTGTCTGTCCTGATGTTACATTCTTTGATTCTGTGCCATACTTATCAGGTCCTAATATTGTCTCTCTCTCCCATAGAGGTTCCTCTTCCTCTTCTAGTTGATAATTCCTTTCCTATTTTTCCTATTGTGACTGAGTCTCCAACTCTTCTAATGTAGGATCATACTGAAAGACCACCAATCCATCAAGTGTATACTCACCGACAAAGGCCAGCACCTCCTCTAGCTTCTACTTCTTCTGCAGATCCAATTTCTTTTACACCTGAGTTGCCTTCTGACCTTGACCTTCCTATTGCTTTGCGGAAAGGTAAATGTAGTTACACTCTGCATCCCATATCCAATTATGTTTCTGTCTCTCACCTTTCCGCTTCACATTTCCAGTTTGTTTCTTTGTTATCTTCTGTGTCTATACCTAAGGATGTCCAAGAGGCTCTTACCTCACCAGGAACTCTCTGCCCTTAATCATAATCATATGTGGGAACAAGCCAATCTTCCCCTAGGTAAGCATGTTGTTGGTTGTAAATGGGTGTATACTGTTAAATATCTACCAGATGGGAGAGTGGAACGGCTAAAATTCTGTTTAGTTGCCAAAGGATATTCTCAACTATATGGTTTAGATTATGTCGAAACCTTTTCTCCTATTGCTAAGATTGGCTCAATACGTGTGTTGATTTCCTTAGCAGTCATGCATGATTGGCCTTTGTTTCAGCTCGACATTAAAAAATCCTTCCTCCATAGTAATCTTCTAGAGGAAGTGTACATGGAGCAACCACTAGGGTTTGTTGCTCAGGGGGAGGATGATAAGGTGTGTAAGCTCAAGAAGACAATCTATGGGCTCAAACAATCTCCCTGTGCTTGGTTTGACAAACTTAGTGAAGTATTGAAAGAGTTCGGAATGAGACAATGTCAAGTTGACCACTCAATGTTTAGCTATGATTCTGAAGCTGGGAAGATCTTGCTAGTGGTTTACGTGGACGACATAGTCATCACTGGCAGTGATAGACTTGGGATTGATAGACTGAAGGTCTTTCTACAAGATCACTTCCAGACAAAAGATCTTGGGAAGTTGAAGTATTTCTTGGGTATAGAAGTTGCTAGATTGAAGCAAGGTATAAACCTATGTTAGAGGAAATATGTTCGTGACCTTTTGAAAGAAATAGGGCTATTAGGTGCTAAGCCAGCTGAAACTCCCATGGAACCAAATGTGAAGTTGGGCAGTGATACATGTGAATTATTTGATGGTCCCGGAAGATATAGAAGGCTAGTGGGAAAATTGAATTACTTAACTATTACTAGACCAGATATCTCATTTGTTTGTCAATGTTGTAAGCCAATTCATGCAAAGCCCTCGAGTTTCCCATTGGGATGTAGTCCTTAGAATTGTGCGGTATTTGAAGGGGGCTCTAGGCCATGGGCTAGGAGGTCGTCTCAAAATAGTTGGCTATACAGATGTAGATTGGGCAGGCTCAGTTTCTGATAGGAGATACACTATAGGTTATTGCACCTTTGGAGGAAATCTAGTGACATGGAAGAGCAAGAAGCAAACTGTTGTATCAAGGAGTAGTGCAGAAGCAGAATACAGGGCCATGTCACACACTACATGTGAACTAGTGTGGTTAAAAAATCTTTTGCAAGAAGTCGAGTTCTCAATAAGCAAACCCATGAAACTATATTATAACAACCAAGCTGCAATTCACATCTTATCCAATTCAGTTTTTCATGAGAGGACTAAACACATAGAGGTGGATTTCCATTTTGTAAGGGAAAAAGTCCTTGATGGTGTCATAAGTACAGAGCATGTGAGAACAGGTGATCAGTGGGCAAACTTGTTCACAAAAGGGTTAAGTTCGGGAAGAGTGAACTATATATGTAACAAGCTAGGACTATATGACATATATTCTCAGGCTTGAGGGGGAGTGTTAGAATCGGCTAAGGAAGGGTATTTCAGTCTTTTCATCATAAGTTAAGATGTTTTGTTTGTTTTGTACTGTGTTAAGTCACATGTCCCATACTTAAGTGGGGGCATATATATTAAAACAAGGTACAATGTCAAATATGCCCCCACTTAAGTATGGGACATGTGACTTAACACAGTACCAAACAAACAATACATCTTAACCTATGATGAAAAGACTGAAATACCCTTCCTTAGCTGACGGTTCTTCCTTCTCTTTTCTTCTCCTTCTCTCTTTCTCTCTTTCTCTCTTCTCTATATCTGAAACTGGTTCGACAGAACTATTGTCACAGTTTGGTATAAGGCTCCCAAGGGGTTGCTAGGGTTTCTCTTTGAGCGTCGAGGTGTCCCCTCTTCTTAAAGGGGCTCTCTATATATACGCTCTTGTTCCGTGGAGATCATGAGATCTTCCATCACTGGGAAGTTCCCTCTTACGCAACATGGTTGGCATATTGATCTCTAGAAGTTCATGATCATGTTGATCTATTTCCCCTTTTAGGCTAGTTAGGGACTTGCTACTTGGCTTTTTGGGATTTTGGTAATCAGGCTCTCCCTTTTCTTTCCATGTGTCCTTGAGCACATTGGCTACAATATCCTTCCTTATGTTCCTGTTTGGCATTCACCTGTCGTAGTGTTCTGTGACATGTAACAAGACCTCACGAGGCTAAGTGGGACCAAGCCTCGTTTAGTGGGAAAATCCTCATGAGGCAGAACCACATGAATCTAGTGTGAATGGAATTCTAGCTCACCGACTCGTCAACCTTGTGAAGTTGCTTATCCTCGTGGGGCTGGATGAAGTTCTCAATATTTATAGGCTGACAACCCAATGGCCTTGTGGCCATATTCTACCTCATGGTTGCATTTGATCTTGCAAGGCCAAGTTAGAGCCTTACACTTAGGTGCTGTTGTGAGATTGTCAGACATGTGATCTTTGCCCCAAGAAAACCACGTTTGACTATATCCGGTAACCGTGTTGACACACACCAATCTCTCAGAGAGCCTTGTGGTCATGCTTTAACAACTTTGTGGTTCTCATGGACATGTGTCCTTCCTTGGAGGAGAGAAAGATGGGATCTGTTTCCTCAGCATTGATTGAGACAGAATATTCCAACTCTTATACCTTCGTGCACATAGCTTGTTCCCTTGCTTTTTAAATARGAGAGCAAGCAAGGCATTGGGGAGAATGAATCCTTAACCAACTCCCTACAATCCCTTATGTGTTCCAAACTCTCACCCAGACTTGGCCACTTTCCCAAATCATCTACCATCTTACCCTCTATCTATATGTTTTAGAGGCATTTCTCAATCTGCTTTCAAGACGCTCAAACTATCCTTATCCCTATTGGCTAACACATACAAAGAATTATTGAAAAATTTAAAATATAGAAAAACTTAGAAACAACTCTAATATTATATATTAATTATATTAAACAAAAAAAGTGTGATAAATAAGAATTACTTTTATTAATGATGTAAGTGAAATACAGAATTTAAAATCAGTCTAAAAATGAAATCATTTTCCTATCTAGGTAGCAGGTTAGTAGTAATCTTCTAGGTCAAATGGTCAACCCATGATGTCATAATTGAATAATAAATATTTAAGAAAGGTAAAATTATGAAATATAAAAAGAACATAAATTTTATAGAAAAATTTAACCACATCTCTAATATTATATATCCATCTTACTAAAAAAATAAATGTGATAAATAAAAATTATTTTTCTTATTGATGGAAATAGAATACAAATATTAAGAAAAAAAAGAATTAATGTCTAACCCATGACTCCACTATTGGTTCAATGGTTCAATTAGCTAGACCATCATGTTATGGACTAAGCCAATGGTTTTTACGGGCAGACAACTTGGTGGTAAATGGACCCAAAATGCTGATCGAGTTATAGGACCAATCTGACTAGTTTATTTGACTACAAGATAAAAAAGCATTGTTATAATGATGATGATTAGAATGGAACCACATTTCCCTCTCAGTTAGACAAGTCAACTTCTGGTGTCATAAATTATACAAGTGTTATTGTTATAATGATTATCATATATTAAACAAAAATATAGATTATATATTACTTATTTGTTTAGCATTTCTTTAATATTATATATTCATCATATTGAACGGAAATATTTGCAAAAAATGAGGATTATTGTAATTAATGATGGAAATGCCTAAAATACCAAAAAGAAAAGAAACAGCAGGTCAACCAATAAGGTCATTTGGTTGTTGACCAAGCCAATAACATTTTCTTTTTTTTCAAAAATGTTATTTGGCATGTCAATATCAGTTTGTTGACCATCTACTTCAACCACATGGTTAAAACGTTGATGTAAACTACAAATCAGATGATTTTAAGCTAGGTCTTTAGGTTAAAAGGGCAATAATCCACCAATACATCGTGCTTCAATTACTTACCTTCGTGTTACTGAACTTATTGCCTATTATCGTATTTTCTTTATTTTATTTTCCTTTATCAAAAAAAGTGTCATACTGCATGGAGGTTATCTTTTCCCTGCCATTTAACAGTTTTTATTGTTTTGCAGGGAGATGGTAGTGGGTGTGTATCAATTTATGGAAGTAAGTTTGAAGATGAAAACTTCATTGCAAAACACACTGGTCCTGGCCTGTTGTCAATGGTACATGTTTTGCCTCTCTAAACTCATTACAAAGAAAAGGGGCGGGTTGGAGAGGGGGCTCTCAATTAAGTCTGGATGTGTTAAAATGTTGGTCTATTTTCATTTTCTTCATTTGTTTAAGCAGTTGCTTTCCAGTTTTTTTTCTTCTTTTTTAATCAAATTCACATAAATTGTTTACATTTACATTCATGGAATATTCCCATGCTTTTTATATTTTAATGGTAGCTAGATGAATCTAATGTGGAGTCATGTGAAAACTCAATATGTCTATCAATTTAAGCATGTTTACCTTTGATATTTTGGGACCTTTTTACAGGTTTCCTGAAATTGATAAATAAGGAAGATAGTTGAATTCTTAATGCAGTCACTATGTTTCCCATGTAGTAGTATAGTTCTCACAAGGCTGACATAATTTAGTCTGAAATATCTGCTCCTTTTGCATTGAAACAAATGGAGCTTAATGTAATTTCCTGGTGAATAAGATGTTTAATGCTAGAGGCAGGGAAGAACATCATTATGTTCTACTAGGAAAAAGAGAAATAATATAAGAAAACAAAAAGAAAACAGCTCGTACTTTTCTTATTGTACTTTAGTATGTTATAATTTATTTCCGGAAAATTGGAGTCATTACAGTGTTGCAGCACCTATTTCCAGGACTGGTAGATGAATTGATATTGTTTCCCTCGTCTTATTGCAGGCAAATAGCGGACCAAATACTAATGGTTGTCAGGTAATACTTTAAATGGATGATTAAATGTATTTAATTTGATTCTGTGCCTGTACTTCCACAATAGTGGTGGCAATTGGGTTGCTTGGGTATGGTTGAGCTTCAAGCCTTCAACCCATCCATCAGACCTATTAACCCATTAATGACCAAGATTCAAAGTATTATCGAAAACGCTAAGTGTATCGGAAAGGCAATTTTAAGAGACGTATCGGGATATGCCTTGGATACACGTGTATTGGAGAAAAAATTAAGATACACATAGATATGCATGGAAACATTATAAATACTTCAATAAATCATAAAAATACATCAATGACACTAAACATAAGGCCTCAATGAGAGGTGTACATACATTAAGTTAATATATTTTAATTGCTTTTGAAGAAATACATCATTGTCAATTATAATTTTATTGAAAAACCCTATGCTTAACTATTATTTATAAATTGTAGTTCTTAAGTTCTAGGGGATGGGAAAACCTAACTATCCTATCCAACCTTAAAACATGCATTTGCACAATTTCTAAGTGCAAATATAATTAATAATTAATTTTTATTTTCAAAAAATATAAAACTAAAAAATAAATAATATAATATATTCAAAAAAATATTATTGAAGAAGAAATTTCAACTACTCTATTGATATGATAGCTCATCCCTAGATCTATAATCTAATCAATACTTGGATTAGATCATAAAATATAATTAATTATTAATTATTTTTATTTCTAAAAATATAAAAATATAAAAAATTTATTGAACAAGAAATTGCAATTGCTCTATGGATATGAAGTTTCCATATATCTAAAACATAATAAGTCTTTCTAGGTAGATAAAAAAGTACGTTTTCAATTCTTTTGTTATTTTATATTTTTTTCCAAATCTCTTCATAAAGTTTCCATAAATTTACTCATAACACATAAAAAAGTGATTTTGGACATATTTAGTGTAGATTAACATAGATTTAAATATTTTCAAGCATTCAAGGGAAAAATCATAAGATATTATGAAAATTTGAAAAAAGTTACCTACTTTTGTAATATTTTTCAAAACTTGAAAAAAAAAATTTCAATAACATTGATGATTCACACGTGCTTTTTTGCGTTTTTTTTTTTGCATATCTAGCACTTTATGAATGAGACTTGGAGTTTTAGAGTCATTTAGGGGGTGAAAGAGTTTCAAGGGAAAGATGCCTTCTTTTCCCTTTTATTTTTTATTTTTGTTTTTTGCCCATATCTTTTTTTTAGCGTACTGATACGCCTGATATACTCCCCGATACGGTGGAAAAAAGATGATACAATCGATTTTCCACCGTATCTTGTATCAGAATTTGAAAGATACGATATGATACACCCTGAATCGGGCGTATAGTGTTGAAATTTGAAACCTTGTATATATCAGACAAGTGCATCTTTTCTCAAGAAAGAGCATCTCAGAAGTGGTTACTCCCACTTTCAAACAAAAGCTTCCTTGGGTCGTTACCTCCACTAAAAAGAAAAAGGGAAAAGTAAAAACTCATTTCAAATAATGTAGGATCCATAAAGTGGGTTATTCTTTAGAAATAAAACTTAATTTAATCTCTTAAATTGAATAGAAAATTTATATATAAGAATTATCAAATAAATAATAATCTAAATTTATCACATGAAAAATGGGTTTCAAACAAAATTTATTAGAATACACGAATAAAAAAAATCAGAATACTAGCCCCGTACTTAGTATGGGGGTTGTTTCTCTAGTTTAAATCAAATTAATTGGTAGAACCCAACCAAAACCTGCCTTGACCTAGCTCAACCCACCAATAAGGGTCCCTATGCCATGCTAATGATGGCTACATTATTGTTGATAAATTTGTTGGCTCATATATATATATATATATATATATATATATATAAAGGTGATATACTGCATTATATTTTAGTTAGCAACAAGATCATAGATTCTATAGAGGGAATAACTCTCTTAGATGTGATTCTATTCTTTAAATCTGATATTAATTTCTGATTACAACAAGAAAAAGGAAGAAAGAAAAGAAGAATACAACAGAGAGAAAGGAGTAGAGAGTTCAATGATGTTCTCTCCTCTCTCACTAATCTTTTATTAATCCAACTTAATTAGGATTAATTACAAGTAAACCTTAAGTGGGCGGCCAATTCATCAATAACTTAAAAGAAGTTAAAAAGAAGTTAACATGCCCATAAAGAAAAGGCCTATTAACAAAATAAGAATAAAAAGAACACTACTTAACAAAATACAAGTACTAGGCCCATTCGGCCTAGTCTCTCTACACTCCTTCTCAAACTGATCATAGATATCAATCATGCCCAACTTACTTATATAGTATATCAATTTTCCTTTTGGAGCACCTTTGATTAAGACATCAGCCAACAGAACAACAAGCAAACTTCCCTTGAAGAAACTCTCTTGTATAAAATGTCGATCAACCTCTATGTGCTTAGTTCTATCATGCTGGACGGGATTATGTGTAATGTTGATAGTTGTCTGGTTGTCACAATATAGCATCATTGGCTTCTCACAGTAAATACCCAACTCTCCCAGAAGTGATCTAAGCCACAATAATTCTAAAACTCCATGTGCCATTACCCTAAACTCTACTTTAGTTTAAGATCTAGCTACTATAGACTACTTAGTCCTCCATGAGACAATGTTCCCTACCACCAAAGCATAAATATCTTAAGGTGGATCCCCTATCATCAATACATCTGGCCCAGTCAGCATCAGTGTATGTCTCCAACTTCATATGCCCAAGCTTGCCAACAAAATACCTTTTTCCTTAGAGTGCCTTTCAAATAACACAAAATCTTCTTTGTAGCTACTAAATGTGTATCTCTAGGTGAATACATGAACTGACTAATGACACTCACTGCATACGAAATATCTGGATGAGTTGTGCAAAGATATAACTTCCCAAGCAGTTTTTGGAACACTCCCCTATCGGACAACAATTCATCAAATAGCAGAAAGCTTGTGGTTTAAGTCTATAAGGGTGGAGGCCGGTTTAACACTAAGTTTTCCAGTCTCTGCAAGTAGATCATTGACATACTTGTGTTAAGAAATGAAGATACGATCCTTAGATCTAACAACTTCAATTCCCAAGAAATAGTTGACAACTCCCAATGTCATTACTAGTAACCACAATGTCATTAACATAAACAATCAAAATAGTCACCAAGGAATTACTCCTCTTAACAAATAAACAAGGGCAACTTGAAATCTCTCAAACCAAGTTCTAGGAGATTGTTTGAGTTTAAGCTATAGGAGTCTGTGTGTAAGAACAATAATTCTAATGAACAACCCCAAAGGCATCAAAATAGGATGAAAAGTTCTCAAAATATTCTTTGGTATTATCGAATATTTTGATCCGAGTGTTAAACTAGGTAAGAATAAGTTTATGAAACTTTTGCACAATAGCATAGTTGTCAAGGTGACACCCTGGCAGGCGCCTAGGCAACTAGGCACTTTTCAAAGAGCGCTTCGCCTAAACGCCAAGAAAATATATGTTAGACGCATGCTTAGGGGACTGAAACACATATAATACATAATATTTATTAAATAAAAATAGATATAAAATATATACTATTTTATTGGTTGGTTTTAATTTTTATAAGTTGCCTAGTAGGACTGCAATCAGTCCTGGTTATAATGTATAATAAACAAAAAGAAGTTCGAGAATGAGAGAAGAAAAGGAGAAGACAAAGAGAAGTCAAAAAGAGTGGATTATGACTTGAATTGTTGCCTCGCTTAACTATCTATATTAATAATTAAAATAGGGGAAAAACCTGAATTAACTACCAACTACCACTAACATAAATAAACAAATAGTAGTGGGGACCACATAACAAACATAGTGGGGACCACATTAATATTCTCTACACTCCCCCTCAAGTTGGGAATAGATGTTTGCCATTCCCAACTTGCATAGTTCTGCCTCTAACTTTGTCTTAGAAACTGTCTTTGTGATGAGATCTGCAAGTTGCATGTTGGAGGTGATATATGGAAGACACATTTCTTGTGAAGCAACTCTCTCTGATAAAGTGTCGGTCCATTTCAATGTGCTTAGTCCCGTCATGTTGTACCGGATTATGGGCTATATTAATAGCAACCTGATTATGTAAAACAACATTAGGGGATTCTCATAAGTAATACCCAACTCCTCAGATAGGGATTTCATTCGCCATGGACCTATATTCAGCTTCAGCACTGGAGCGAGCAACAACATTTTGTTTCTTAATCCTCCAAGAAACAAGATTCCCCCCTATAAAGGCATAATATCCAGAGGTAGACCTCTTATGATCAACACATCTAGCCCAATCAACATCTGTGTAAACTTTTATCTTCATGTTACCATTATCTTTGAATAGTACACTTCTGCATGGACATCTCTTCAAATATGCCAGTATCCTCTCAACTGCAAGTAGGTGAGTAGTTCTAGGAGAATGCATATACTAGCCAACAACATTGATTGCATAACTGATGTCTGGTCGTATGAGACAGAGAAGTTTTCCAACTAACCGTTGGAACATAACTTCATCTTCAAGGGGCTCTGGGTCTCTCCATGTTCTGCACTGATCTTGTGATTTTGTTTTCAATAGGTGTGTCAACAGGTTTAACACCTAACTTCCCTATTTCTTCCAACAAATCAATAACATACTTTCTTTGGAAAACAAAAATCCCATGCATTGATCGTGCTACCTCAATACCCAAGAAATATCGTAGCTCTCCCAAGTCTTTGACCTCAAATTCTTGGTGAAGGAGTTGCTTCAGAGAGCCAGTCTCATAGGTATTACTCCCTGTCACCACGATATCATCCACATATACAACAAACAGTGTTAAGGAGGAAACCACCTTCTTAATAAAGAGTCTGATCTGACTGGGCTTGCACATAGCCAAATTTCTCAAGAGCTTGTCTAAATCTATCAAACCAGGCTTTGGGAGACTGTTTCAGTTCATATTAGGCCTTATTCTTCTGACAAACCTTCTTTC